CTAACTAGGAAGCTATCTATTTAAACTCTCTGGCTTCAACCAATGTCACATGTTTCCTTCTAATATACCCCTTTCGGAAACAGTAATTTACCGAGTTATCCAAATTGTATGAAACTTTTAGAATACATGTATTTTTAAATTCTGAACAACTTCTATTATAGTCAAAATATATATTTACCTAGTACAATTTTGACTCTTATATATAGAAACTACTTTTTCATATATAAAAACTTGTTTACTTAATAAAAAATGGTCAAAAACCTCTATTACTCGAAAATAAGCTACTCTTAAAATTTTTGTGTAATTTTTTGCTCAAAAATGGTAGCTTATTTTCGGGAATATACGGTATATAATAAGTGATAGCTCTTTAATACTTTTAATATTTTGTATATTTGAAATGTGTGCTAGATTAAGCATGTTGTTAATCATAGATCATCAGTTGTATTACATATATATATAAGATAATTCAAAAGTTTTCTAAAACTTCCAATGATGTTTTCTTAATAACTATATGATTAAATTTGGTAAAATTTTTTATTTTATTATAGTATCTTGTATAATTAAAATAAAAAAATAGTTGTAAAAAAATCAATATTAAAAGTCTTAAGAGTAGAGCATAACTATTTCCAAATTTATATAAAATAGATTGTAAATCAAGTTTGTATAACCAATTTCATATAGTATAATATGCTTTGACCAATCATAATTAGCAATTCTTTGTGTAATTAAAAAAACTATTTAGCATTTAGTGAAATTTTTAGTTATATTTAAATATAATTTTTTAAAAACAATATGTATTATACAACTTTATTATTATAAAAAACTATTTTAAACTATATATTATATAAATATGATACAAATTGGTTAAGTTTACTATGTAAAAATTTAATATACTATGTAGATTATATGAAAATTGATTTATGTACACCCTACTCTTAAGAACACTTAAATTATCTTGGAAAAATACTAAAATCATGTAAATTTTTATTTATTTGAACTTTAAATACAAATTTCTTAACAATTAACTATTCAAATTTAACTAACTTTTTTTTATTTTAATTCTAGATGTATATAAAATTAAAATAAAAAAATTGATTGAATTTGAATAACAAGTTGTTGAAAAATATTTATTAAAGGCTAAAAAAAGATTGGCTATAGCTTCTTTTTTAAAGATATTAAAAAGTTGAACAAAGATTACTTGGCACTTATCTAAACTAGTTAAATTTGATTAATTTGTTTTTTTTTGATTCTATAAGCTTATAAAATTAAGGGTTTAAGTTTTTTATGCATCTGTACTGTAGTGCATCCCTAATTTTAACCAATAAAAATAGTGATTTTTTTGTACCACATTATACCAAATTTTACAAAAAATCAAAATAAAGTAAAAAATTTAATTATTTAAGTTTTTGTATTAGTAAAAAGTTTAAAAATTATAAATTTAATATAACTAAAAGGGTAATTTGACTTGCTAAACAAGTTTAATCAAGAAACAAAAGATAGTTATTTAAGTAAAAAAATAAGTTAGCATTAGATTAAAGTTTAAAAAAACTTTAAATTATTATATAACTTTTTTTTTACTAAGATAACCTATCTTTGTTTTTTAGATAACCCTATTTTTTTTACAATTTTATATACAATATTGCTTTTATATTAATATAAAAGTTATTATATAAATATTAAATCAAGTTTTTAAAAAAGTTTAAAGAGAGTACACTACAGTACAGGAGGGCTCAAAAAAAGTTTTCTCTAAAATTAAAATAAAAAAAATTAGTCAAATTTAACTAAGTAAGTATAAAGTAATTATTGTTCAAAGTTTAAATATTTATAAAAAAAAAGCTGTGGTCAAATTTTTTTTAGCTTTTAATAAACATTCCTTGACAAATAGTTATTCAAATTCAATTAAAATTTTTTTATTTTAACTCTGTACACTCCTGGAATTAGAATAAATTGAATTCAGATAGTTAGTTGTTACAAAATTATTATTTAAAGTTTTTAAAAAGTTTTTTAAAAAAAATACTACAACAAAATTTGGAAAAATTGAAGATCAAGAAACTAGTGTTCTAAGCTGATTAAGCTAGCCACTTAGCCAGCTGCTTAGCCACTTAGCTAGCTGATAATTTCATTAGCCGGCTAATAATGGCTAATAATAATAATAAGCTTTTATTATTTTAATACTAAATAAATATGTTTTTAATATGCCAATTGTGATTAAAATCATATATATATATATAAGTACGTACATCTATTAAAGTAAAATATTTCTTATTTTGGCTAATAAATAAATTAAAAATCCGAGAATCTGTACGATCAATTATGCAAAGCCTCTAGTACAATTTCAAAATTTTTTTTTAAAATTGATTCTTATATTGTTATTATATACAAATATAAGCACCAATTTTAACTTAGATAATCGTATATTGATATTGTAATTTACAAAAATTAGTTAATTCATTTAGGTTTTACTTGAATTATTAGTTATTTATAAAGGGTATATTTATACAACTGGCAAAGAAAAAATTTTAGTGATATGTATTGTACTATATTTTGACTACACTATCAAAAAAATTGTAGATAGTTTATTTTAACTAGAGTTTTGTGCTAAATTGGGCTTCACTATAGCAAAATATTTTATTCTAAGGCCTGGCTCTTTCTTGGCGATATTCATACAGTATATATTATTATGAGATCTGATAATCTTGAATTAGATACATAAGCTTGTGACTTTTTTACTCATATTTTACTATGTATCAAAGCTAACCTAAAAAGTCAAGTAATTAAAATCATAGTCGTATATAAAGTCAAGTAATTAAAATCATAGTCATATGTAAAGTCAAATAATTAAAATCATAATTGTATAAATAAATGAAATAATAATACTAAAAAGAGAAAGGTCGCAAAAATGGCTATGTAAAGAAGTATGAAAAAATGTTGAGAATTCACAAGATAAGGTAAAAAATTAGTTAAAAACATTATAAAGAAAAAGAAAATAATCTAAAATACTTCTTTTTATAATTCTAAAGTCCTAATACAATAATAAAACTTGCTTAATAACTCGATTGAAACTTCCAAGTTCTTAAATCATAAATCTTTGTTATTTTAATCCCAAATCGTACACTCTTATTAAAAAGTATATTACCTTGAACTATCGTTATTACTACAAAAAAAAAAAATAAAATAAATAAATAAGTAAAAATTCATTTAAAAAGTTCAAAAAAAAACTTGACATATTAATTTTATTATAATGGAAAATTCCCAAGATGATGATTTTTTTATGTCTTCTTTTTCACTATCAAATCTGTTGCAAACACATGGTGATTTATATAGAGATAATTTATATGATGAGAGTTTAGAAAGTGGTGAAAAATCTGATTCTTTGGATGAAAGTTCAGAAGCTAAAAAAGATTTATCAGCTTTAGCATCAGCTACTACAACTAAAAATAGTCAATTCTTAAATAAACCTAGTAGAAAAAGATTACCTTC